ATTCTCTAATCCCCTTTTCGTAAGCCATTCCAATACTTACAATCCTGCGATGAAACGAACATACAGGAAGAGAAGAATGTGGAGTAGGTTATCGCTTATAGCAACAGCCATAGGTGCACCAACGAAACCAAAACCCAGTTTCTATTACATCATGTTAGGAAGAATAGAACTGTTTTATGATACCATAACGTGGAACTATGGACTGTGGGGAAGAGGAACATACCCAGACGAAAAGCCAATTCAAAAAGGCGTTGAGCGGGGCGCATATTACCAGGACAACGAGCCCCGCAGAAAAAAGGCCTTGCGCTTGAACAAAACGTTTCCCGCTTTCAAAGCATGCATACCCTGGGGCCCCCAACAAAACAATCTTCAGGTATAATCCTGTAAGAACTGCAACGTCCTTCTCTGGAACGATGACCATCAAAATCCTTTCAGCGAAAAACCATACTAAACCAATGGGGATGGTCATTAGCCAGAGAAAGTAAACCATCCTCTGCATGTGCAATCCAACAAGGGATTTTTTCCCGGAACCATAGGCTTGAGCGCAAAGAGTATCCAGGCTTGTAGAGAGGCCTTGATATATCGAATATCCGGTAATGTTAGCCGTCATACTGGCGAGGGACACAGCTCCTAACTCTACTTTTCCAAGATGCCCGACTGTAAAGATACTAGCTACCGTCAAAGAGTATTGAAGAATGAACGTAATCATCAACGGGACTGTGTATTTCGATAACACTTTGGCTTCCCGGCGCCATGTTGTATGGATCAGTCCAGCCTCGACTGCTTCCTCCCATTTGCTCCCAACCTCATCGTCACTAACATTATCACTAACATGGTTGCCAAGCGCCGTAGATGACGCCAAAAGGGCAGTAGTCTCGGTGGCAGAAGAGTCAGGCCCAGATGAGGATCCAGGAAGCTGTGCAGATTCTTCATCTTCCTCCCGGGGAAATGTCTCAGATTCTTTCAGTCTTTTTGAGAGTAGACCAGTAATCTGACTCCGTCCCTTGGTCGCTTTCGCATGTCGGTGTTCCGGGTGAATAACATGACTGTCCGCTAATAAATCCCGCTCTTCTTCTAAGATCTGCTCCCGTTCCCAATCCGCCAGGACCGCATGCTCCTGGGCTTGAGGGTATGGAACGACTGTTCCTCGTGCACCTCTTGTGAAGAAACTAGGTCTCCTGTAAGATTCGGCCAAGGAGTGAGAATTCCCAAGGCTGGTCGCAGATAAATCCCTGTCCACTCGGTCGTCGTCTCCATCAATGCGAGAGGGGTTCACATCGGATGGATTTGGTGGTATATCCATTTGAAATGAGGGGTACTAAGGGCAGGAGAATTCTTCGTTTTGTGTGAATGCAATTTATCATAGCAATTAAAAACATTAGTACTTTGGTTTGCTCGGTGCTCGTATGGACGAATAATCGATGGGGAAATAAATGTTCAGCCTTACAAAAGCCAGGTTCCTTACGAACCCTAAACCGAAGTAACAAATATTTAGGTACGCCAATAAGATTCTAGGAACCGAGGCTTGACTTGAACGCCCCGTTCGTTCCCTTCTATAATAATGGGATGGAAGCAGCATGGAATGAAAATATCCACCATCGATTGCAAATATCCAGATATGCCCCCTTACTCACGATAAGAGCCGCACAACCAATCAGAAGCCGATATGGCCACATGACATAAGCGAACCCATCAACCTTATTTTATGCTGCTTCAATGAGAAGAAACAGCCTCATCAACGAGCAATACTTATATCACGTAACATAATGTTAGAGGCTTTTGTTGTATAGAATTCTCCGGCACGTACAACTACTAACTAAATAAAAATTTCGCATCGTGGCTGTTAATGTATTACCCAGACAGCGTTCTATCGCCTTTAATGTGGGATAATGCCTTCGGATTGGTTGGTTCTTGGAACATCTTGTTCTCGTTGCCAAAAATGGCAAATTAATTCTGCGACGTCTAGAAAATTGACGGCAAACATTAAATATCAGCAACCATTCCGCTACGAAATGGTAGGCTTGGTTACCACACCCCGTTATTAGAATCGAAAAATCAAGCCCCGGTATTGTTGCGCGCTGCACAATGCCCCGCGATGATACCCCAGAGCTCGAAGATGCTTCTCCAAGCAACAATGTCTTAACCAGTGCACTGAGGAGAAATCCAGTGCACGTCACAACGTATGTGCTTATTCTCGATCCAGCACTTCGCTAAAGGTATTACCATGTCAAACACTCTAACCCTAGCATACAGTGACCTTGCCTCGCAAGGCCCAGTGTTCCTCTCCAGACCCTTCTTCGGCCCTCTTCTGTTCGATAACAATGCATCCGACGCCCGCGATCACTGCGCCAACGAGCGAACATTCCTCTCGTGGCTGCGGCTATCCATGTATCTCTCCATCGTTGCCTGCGCAATCATAATGCCCTTCCACCTCCGGTACAAGCCGTCGCAGTTGGAGTTGCGCATGGCGCTCCCGCTTGGCATCATCTTTTGGGTTTTGTCGTTCGTCTGCCTATGTAGCGGGTTCGCGACTTACATACGGACAATGACCAAATATAGTCGAAATGCTGCGCTGGTGCAGAGTGGTTGGAAGACGCAGGTGGTTTTCACCGTTGTTGCTATATCGATCATTGGGACGTGTATCATACTCTTAAGCACGGATCCTCCGGCAAAGCCGTAATGGGCTTTTTGCATATGGATAAGACTGGTTTGAGATTCGACTTTTGCGGAACCGGAGATGGTTTGCTATATCTCGGAGACCACGGTGTTTTATTTCTTTGTTAATATCTCTGGGACTGGGGATATGGGTGTTTAGGATTCCGATCTTGCTGCATTTTATTACGGAGTTGTTGATTTGCTATGTTTTACTGGTCATATATCTAATGAATGTAGGAGCGCCAGCACTGCTATTGTGATGTTATTGTTTTCCATACGCAGCGTTGCTGAACACCCACTTCGATGACCACTCATCCGCTACGCATCTGCTCTTTGGATGTCACAAAATCGGAACTAGAAGAATCGATGTGCTCTTATCTATATTTATTGGTAACGCAAGTGCTGTCCCATAAATTTGAAACTTTTAACTCATTTCAGCGGTAACAAAGCTAATGGCTGCAAACTTATGAAGAACATCCCCGCGAACTAATCGATTTAGGGGGGTGGCGAATATACGCTCTACATTCTGTGCGCACATTCTCTCCGAAGAACGCAGGAAAATTGGTAGGATGCCCAGCGATAGGAAAGTAAAAACAAGTAGTCAATTATAGCCACTAGTTACCCCGAAATGAAAACTGAAACGACGCCTTTTAGCTATGCAGTCTAGAATGGTTTGAGGCCACATCGTCAGAAATCCGCAGTATTAGTATCAGATGAATCCCTGTGTGAGAGCACAATTCGCATAAAATTGCAAATATATAACCACGAAAGAGGTATTGGCAAATAAAGGGAGTGTCAAGTCCTTTAAAAATAGTTCTACTGCTGGCACAGAAATTTTAAAGCATGCGGTGAAGCGTTCTGTCTCCCTTGAACTTCTCGAACTCTTCAGTGACGAGCATTTACCACCAATTTGACAGCA